ATTGCTAGTTATGCAAAAAACAGTCTTTTCAAGGACCGCTGGCACCAAGTGTTCCGACATGACTACATCAGTAAACTTTGGCTGCCTATTCATCAGCCCTCCCTCTTGACCTATCACCAGACAAAGGAAAGCCTTATCCCCCGTCGTGTGACCACAGATCCACAACATCACTGTAATTGTGGTTTTCATAAGCCTGGATGCAATGAAAAATGCTACTACTGTGGTCATTAATTCATGGCTGAAGTAACAAGGTCAGTAAAGGAGGGAAAGCCCACCAAGGGGTGCCTTAAGCATATGTCATGAGTTAATCCTCAAAACATTGAGTGATATTTTTAGAAGCATTCTAAGTGTAACTGTGCTTTGACTCACAATGAACCCCAGCTGTTTAAGGACTTATAAAACAACTGTTTTATTTTTCATGCTTTATAAAATTTTCATGAATAAGGAGTTGAGGTAAATGTAAGTTTATATTTAACTGTAACTGATTATATTGAACCCAAAGTTTTCTCTGTTTACATACTGCTCATAACCATAAGGTTCAATTTCATTGGTTAAAATTATAGAAGTTCTTCCTCATTTAATTCAATCACCTGGAGGAAAAACATTTAGAAGTTAATATAAAAATTCAAATTGAACTATGTATAATTATATAATCTGTATAATACATGGCTGAAAAAACAAAGTCAGCAAAGAGGGGAATGCCCCTACCAAGGAGGGCCTAAAGTATGAAATTGTCATGAGTTAATCCTGATTGTGCATTTTGAGAGGCCTTTTAAGTCTGCTCTTGGCTAAAGTTATACCTCTGCTTGCTTTTAAAATTATCAACTGTAACTTTATGTCATAATATATGAGAAGTTTTCTCTGTCTACATACTTCTCGTAACCATAATAAGTTTATAAGTTTCAGCACTTATAGTAGTGGTTTGCCTTATTTAAGCTTATATGATCATGTGGAGGCATTATAACATCCAGAATGAATACTGCTATTTGATAGTGTTTTACTATTTCCTTGTTTTACTGGTGTCTTTTCTTTGTGTAGCTCACACCATTTAACACAACAGTTAAGCAATGTCGGTTTCCAAAATAAACTGGTGATTTCTGTATTTAGTGTTGGCTGATACCAAACGAATTCCAATAGCCATAGAAAAATTTTGCAAACACTCTGCTTTTGCATTGTAGATCATCACTCCTTTTTTTTCTTGGCTGACAATGAGCTTGACTTGTCCCTCTCCTTCGCCAAGCTGCTTGATAAATCCACCCCA